CGGTAAGAGTATAGTACGACATATATAGTAGATATTATTATTAGTTATATATATATATATATATATATATATATATATATATGCACGTTTGAATCACTCTGCATATCTGTTACGTAACCCCGTACACAGGCCGGAAAACGCTCCACTGTAGAAGCTAAAATGTCTGTTTATTTCAATATACGGGCCGGGTGTGGTTTAGTGCTTCAGGCTGCGAATCTAAGATTCTGGTGTTAATGCTGCGTTGTAAAAGTAACAGTTAATTATTTCACACCATGCGTGATGCTACTAGCATGACAGTTTCATGTGTACGTTATAAGAAGAAATTAAAGATTATTGCAAGTTATGCAATTGTTTCGAAATGTTGCTTTTGGTAATACGTATTTATGTTTTAGTTAATCATATCTTTAATTAATGAAGTTTCCTATGTACTTGAAAGTAATCATAAGGTTTGATGTGCTTTTCTCAAATTATTTTTTTAAGGATTTACTTGAATAAATAAGAAATGATAAGTCCATTATACTGTAGTTTTGACGAGATGTTATCGATTACACATTAAGATCAACGTCATAAAACTATAGTGATGACACGTTCCGATTGATAATTTACGAGAAATATTCATACGTGATACAAACGACTGCGAACATCCGATTCAGTCTCGAAGTTTGTTCCCTTTGTTGCAGATGATGGTCTGGTTAGTATTAATGTTCTAGCAAATGTATCACTTACAGCAGTTTGCAACAGATACCGTTATTTACCGATTTCCATCCACCAGATGGCTCTCCACATGAGTGAAACATCCAAAAACCAATGATGTTTGTTTTATCACAGCTTCGATTACTTGAGTTTCGTACAATGCATATTATACACTTAATCATGTATGATGATATAGGTATTAATAATAAATTAGCTACAAAATGACCATTATTGGTCAATAGTTTTTGGATAGATATGTGTGGTCTAATTTGTAATAATTGGTTACAGAGTAAATTGACCACTTTAGATTCCAGTATACATTTGTAGAAAACTATTTCCATATGACCAATGACACGAACTTTGATGAGTCGGTGGTATTTCAAGCTATACAAAAGTAGATATCTAAGCCATATCATGGTAAGCCTGCAACACAGTGGAGAACAAGCATCTATCCGAATTTCAAAGGGACAACTTTTTAAACTTGTTCAAATGTCTCTCATCAGCAGTAAAATTCTGAAGGACAATACAATCAAATATGATTAGCGCTAACTGTCGGTAGATGATCGAAGAAAAGAGAGAATTGTTTGTTGCTAATCGCAAAGCTACGCAATGGGCTATCTCTGCTGTGCCCACTACGAATATCGAAACATTGTAAGCCATCAGATTTACCGCTGAGCTACTAGTGGTGGGTGTGTGTGCAAGAGCCGATTGAGCGTATCTGTAAAGTGCAACATATATCAGTGTTTTTCAATTGATTTTTCCCTTCAAACATTGCAAGTATTTCACTGTCTCCAACAGAACATTAAAAACGTCAAATCAAAGCCGAAAATGTCCAAGAAACAACTCAAATGATGTTTGAAGTGCAAGATGTAGTCAAAGATGCTTCTCTAATGACGATAAAGAAAACATATGGTTTGTGTTCGATATAGCCACACAAGGCTGCCTTCGCTACCCGTTCATAATTTTGAAACTGGTAAGAAAAAGCAGCTAGTCAACAACACCTATCACAAACTCTTTGGCTAATGTAATAGAATAACGTAATTTGACCGTTGCTATGTTTTTGGAGACAACGAGTAGCGAAATGTGGGCTTTCCGATTCCCATTCCGATACGCAAACTACTAGAGCGCGCTCCTCTCAAAAAGTATGGAGAAAGCCACATGATGCATTTGGTTCCTTCTTGTGTTGTTCCGACTGTAGGAGGCGTTCTCGTACCAGGGGTTACAACCTCTACAGTGTACATGAAAGTTTTACTGATCATATCCGTTCCACAATGCTACTTTTACTGTGATGGACAAAGGCCTTTTCCAAGATTATAATGCAACAATCCATCACATTTTAATTGTCCACAACTGGAGCCTTCAGTAATCTGCCCTGCCCAGCAAGGTCACCACCATAATCCACGCCTCTACGAACAAGCTATAATTAAGCCTTGTGGGGCCGATGACACGCCTACTTCAGGCTACTGTTGTGGAGAAAGGTGACCGAACTCCATATTAGTTGAAGGTCCTAGTAAGTGGCCAGTCATTGTATGCATCTGTATAGTCACTGGAATTACAGATGTAATTGTGTATTTTCAATGATAAGCTGTAAAATACGAATTTTGTTATTATTTCTAAGTTATGCATTATCCATTATGTATGGCTAATAAAAGATTATTACAAGTAGAAAGTATCAAGTGAGAAGACTTCACGTTTAATTGTATAAATACATGTTTTTCACAGTGCTTTTAGGATAAGGAATAGAATCAAACACAGCCCCTGAAAAAAACATGCTTTTTATTGAATTTGTTAAAGAATATTGATGACCAGATCAGATCGAAAGATGAAATAGGCACTATTACGTCACCACACGTTCATCACAATATCTACATATTTACAACACATGGTTTCAGCACATATACATATCAAAATTCACATAAGCTAACATATTTTATTCATTGTTATCCCATAAAACCTATCTCTGATCAGGAACATTTTACACAGGATACAAACAGACAAACAGGCTCCATATACGTCACTAGGGGGAGGGGGAGGAATGTCTTTTCAAGGTTTGCAACATAGAAGACTTTAGAAAACAATAAAAAATGTTCACTAATAATCTTTTTATATATATATATATTTTGGACACAAGTAGCTATTATTCAAAAACTCAACAATTTTTATGATATATTATTCTTACGGTTTGAGCCAGTCACTGTATTTTCGTGTGCCATACAAACAACACATCTACGACCTACGACGCACGTCATCGCTGACCAGCTGCCACGTCTATAACGAATTCTCGTAAACTGTTTGAAATTGTACGAGTTTTTCCACAACCCATTTGTTCATCTGTTTCGAACGAACTAACAGATGATACTATCTTAGTGTTACTGTTTCGATACCCAAAATATCTCTAATATTGTTGTCCAGTTGTACCACATCGATGTTTGTGCTTCCATCATTGGCCGCATCTGC